TATACATGTATGTATGTATGTATGTGTATACATGTATGTATGTATGTGTATACATGTATACATGTATGTATGTATATATATATATGTGTATATGTATATATGTGTGTATGTGTGTATATGTATATATGTGTGTATGTGTGTATATGTATGTGTGTATATGTATATATATGTGTATATGTATGTGTGTATATGTATATATATGTGTATATGTATGTGTGTGTGTATATATATATATGTATGTGTGTGTGTATATATATATATGTATATGTATGTATGTATATATGTATATGTATATATTATTATTATTTTTTTTTTATTTTTTTTTTTTGTTTGGGCGGGTTTTTGTATGATGGGGCGTTTTTTTAAAGACTTTTGGGCTGGAAAACCTTGACTCTTATCTGGCAACACTGCGTTCTTTTTACAGATCAGAGAGCAGGTTTCTCTAAAGGTGACCAACACTTACTTTAACTTTCGATGAAACACAGTATTTTGCGCATGTGTCCGAATACGGCAAGACTACAGCAAGCCGGCCGTAGTTAGCTTGTAGCTTCGCTACTTAACGCAAGAAGAAAGGACTTTAACACCACTTACGCACAGTTTTCAACTCGATAAAAGTAATGATTAAATCTGCCAACCCTGATTTTACATCAGACACAGCATTACTGCCGTTAGCCAGTAGAATACAGATCTCTATCATAGGCTAAATGTCTATTGTTTCTACCGTGTACCGTATATATCGCACATTCCTACTGACGACCCATTTTCAGCTCAGACTTCCATCATCGTCCATCATTAAACAGGGGTGGAGTCCTCCGTGTTCAACAGTCCCCCTCTTACAATGCTGTTGTTGCTAGTATCACTCAGCCCCCTGTGAATAGCAAACAGCCATCAGGGTGATAACAATCCATTGCTAGGCTGATGGTCCTCCTTGATCATGTGAACTGCTAGTCTTGGCTGTCAGCAGCAAACTGATTGATCCATTATGATAAGGTGCTGTTTATAAGACTGAGCTGAATACAGCACCTCAGACTGAAGTCTTTCGGATGAAAGATGAAACGTTTCTACAATTTGTTTTGTTTTTTGAACGTCCAGAGGACCTGACTTAACTTTTTTAGATAATAAAAGAGTGATTTGTCGCTTTTGTTTTAAAAGGCATTCTGCATGTTCTTTTTTCACACATCCATTGCAGCATTTCCTTGGTTTGGGATGGACATTGGTGGCACCTTGGTGAAGCTTGTTTACTTTGAGCCCAAAGACATAACAGCAGAGGAAGAACAGGAGGAGGTGGAGAACCTGAAGAGCATTCGGCGCTATCTAACATCCAACACAGCCTATGGCACAACGGGCATCAGGGATGTGCACCTGGAGCTTCAGGACCTGACTCTGTGTGGCAGGACAGGCAACCTACACTTCATCCGCTTCCCCACACATGACCTCCCAGTCTTTCTACAAATGGGCCGCAACAAGCACTTCTCCAGCCTTCATACCACCCTCTGCGCGACAGGGGGTGGAGCGTTCAAGTTTGAGTCGGATTTCCGAATGGTGGGTCCAGTGCTTTCATTTTTGAATTTGCTTTTAGATGCAATTTTCAGATACTTATATACTTTTTGGCATAATAGTGTATGAAGTGTATTTATCCAACCCCACTATGCCACTCAGAGATGGAACATGAGAAAATAATTCAGTTACTAATAAAAGGTTGAGAAATTAGTGAATGTAATTTTTTATGAACACTAGCATATTTTTCTTTAAGCATTTACTGTACGATGGAAAGCAGCCAAACACGCAATTCCTGGCCAAACAGATTTTCAGCAAATCTTTTGCAATTGCAGTTGCTACTTTATTGACCAATATCAGAGTCAGAATCAACTTTATTGTCATTGTACAGTTGAGTACAACAAAATTGCGTTCCATACAGCCATCTGAAGGATAGACGGAAGTGTACCAGGGCTGCGGTTCCCTATGAACGCTGCCCTTATTGCGTTGACAAGAAAAGGCGCAGAGCTTCTTAGTTTATGTATTCACCAGGAGCAATTTGAGATAAGTTGGCCTATCCAAGGCCAGCGGGGTCGATTCCTCCATGCCAGCGAGACCTAGGAGCTGCAAGTGGCCCACAATTCTCAGAAATTGTGTCCAGCTTACGATTCAGCACGCAAAGCATATTAATCTGAGAGCTCGAAACACGGAGTAATCCTTCATATAAGGCAGGCAGCTTTACTATTGCAGAAACCGCTGCCGATGTCTTCCTAATTACCATATTTTTCGCCCTACAAGTCACAGGTTTTTTTGCATAATTTGCATGCCCTGCAACTTTTATACACCAAAGCGACGTATTTATGGATTTTTTCCCCCTATATTTATAACCTAATTTTTGGCTGAGGAATGAGTGTTTTCATTCATTCAGACAAAAAAAATTCAACACTACCATTTTCAGCAGCTAGATGGCACCAGAGTATGCCATTGTGTCATGTAGTATGTAAAAGTGGCTATTATGACACAATTGGCTTGCCATAGCCTGCCAACTTCATCCAGCTCGCCTGGAGCAACTGTCAAGTCAGCTTAATTTTGCTGTGCTACCCTGGCAAAATGCAGCTAATTTGATCATTGAAGTGCATTTATTAAGAAAAGTTCAGCTGAGACACACCTTTGCTATAACGCCGAGAAAATAAATAATTGTTTTAGGTGCTTATCTTGTTAAATTTCTAAGAAATGCAGTGTTCCTCCTTCCTGATTTCCTCCCTCTGCGTGCACCCGGAGTACCTAGGCAGCAAATTTTTTTTTTAAATACAGCTGATTTGACTGTTAAAGTCCTTTTGTTAAGTAAAAGTTCAACTGAAACACACCTTTACTATGAAGTTGAGCAAACAATTGTTTTTAGGTGGTTATCTTGTTAAATTTGCACAGCGACTCGTCCTGTGCACGTGCCTACTTTCGCAAATCTAGTTTTGAAATGCAGCTGATTTGACCATCAAAGTGCATTTATTGGGCGGCTGTGGCTGTGTTGTTGGAGCAGTCATCCTCTAATCCTTCAATGCAAGAGTTGGAGGTTCGATTCAACAAGCGGAAGTGTCCGTGGGAAAGACACTGAACCCCTCATTGCCTCTGATGTGTGTCCTATCGGTGTATGAATGTGATAAAGCTCTGATTAGTCTCTTTAGAATGGTTTGTTCAATTAGCTTTGTAGAGATCTAGTAGAGTGCTGTATGAATGGGTAAATGAGGACACAGATTGTAGTGTAAAGCGCTTTGAGTGTCTTGATAAGATAGAAAGGCTCTATATAAGTACAGTCCATTTACCATTTACCATTAAGCAAAAGTTAGACTGAGACACACCTTTATTATAATTATAAGCAAACAAATAATTGATTTTAAGTGTTAATCTTGTTAAATTCTTGTTAAAGTCCTCCCATGCACGCTCCGGCGGCCCCCATTTAGCAGCCAATCGATTTTTGGCACAACACCGGCTCACATTTCTGGGTTGTCAGCAGTGACGCGTAACAAACGCGACTCGTCAGTGGTGACACATAATAGATGCAATGTATATGGCGAAGCAACATATTTGTGGATTTTTCCACTTTATTAGACAAATTTGGACTGATGCGGCTTATAGGACAGTGCATCGTTTACTGCAGAAAATACAGTAGTCGATATCCCAGGTATCCGCCGATTCCAAAAAGCAGAAACCCTGTTATCATAAATCCAGTTATGTATGGTATGGTATAGAGTTTATTCATTTTAAAAAAGTACAAAACAATTCCATAACAATATAAAAAAGATACAAAAGATTTAAAATGAAAGGCAGCAGAAAGAAGAAAAAATCTTATTATATCTGCCCCTTTTTTATGTATGTGTCTTCTACGTCCTCAACAGACAGGCACATCATTTTCCAAACATCCCAGGAATCCATGACATATCCAGCTGCATGTGTTCCTTAAGGGCATGAGGGTTCTCCTGCATCCTGTCTATTCGAGAAAATTTTATCAATTGTGTTGATAGACCAGCTGACCAGATCCATAATAAATTTTCGGTTCAGAACATGTGTAAAGAGAGGCTCTGAAATTCACTGGACAAAAGCAAAAACAGGAGGGGAGGCAGGAGAGGGAAAGAGAGCGTCCGTCTTTGTCGAAAACGAGAGAGGAAAGATATATAGGGCAACATAAAACTTTCAGCTGTTTATAATCATAAAAAGCATACATAGAATGTTCTTTTTTTTTTTTTTTAGGAATTATTTTAGTAAAGTCTACAAAATCATTGTTTTAATAGTTACCCCTCCCCCTAACTCACACACCTGATAAATGTTTTGTCTTTCTTGTGTTTCCTTTGAAAAAAGATGGCGGACCTGCAGCTCCACAAGCTGGATGAGCTGGACTGTTTGATCCGAGGGGTGCTGTACATTGACTCAGTTATGTCCAGTGGACCCTCAGAGTGCTACTACTTTGAAAACCCAACAGATCCTGATCACTGCGTGCAGAGACCCTATCCACTGGAGAATCCATATCCCCTGCTGCTGGTCAATATTGGCTCTGGGGTCAGTATTCTGGCCGTCTACTCGGAGAACAACTATAAACGAGTCACTGGAACCAGGTGATTACTAGCAGGTTATTATTTTTGACAAAGTTAACTTCTATGTCATATAGGCTTCGCCCTTTAAGGCTGTCGCTGATGGGTTTATCCCGTTATGCGCAAGCATCATACTGAAAAAAATTAGTCCACGCCCACCTGTTGTGTGGGCCCCACCCGAGCCGTATAAATTACATTAAGAGCGGGTAATCTGCTCCCCATTTTTCTTCAGCAAGCTAATATAAAACAACTGACCTTTCAACGAGATGTCCAGCTCCAACACCATCCGCTTGTGTCCCTCCTGCAAGACCGGTTACTTGCTCAGCTTCGACCGGCACGACACCTGCGAGGGATGCCTGGGTCCCCGCCACGTCGCCCGCGCTTCCTCCTGCCGCCTCTGTGACGAGCTTCCACCGGAGGAAAGGCAGAGGAGAGCAGCCTTTGTTTAAGGCTACCATCGAGGACTGCCTGTCCGTGGCGGGAGACTGTTCGCTGGACGACGCCATGGATTTCTTCGACGCCGGCTCTCGGAGTGAATCGGATGATTCCTCTGGGACCGGCGACGTTAGCAGCAGCCCCGACGCTCGTTCCCTCCTGGGGAGCGCAGTGTTGGAAAGAGGGAGGCCGAGCGGATGCTCGACTCCCCCGGGGTTTCCCGCCTCAACGGCCACACCGCTCCCTGCCGTCGGCGCACTCCTCTCGGAGCTGCCCGCCATTATCCGGGAAGCTGCTAACGTAAACGGGCTCTCCGTCCCCTCACCCCCCCCCCCCCCCCCCCGCTAAGATTGGATGATCTTGCGGGAAGGTTTGGCTCCACGCTGGCTCGCCGTCTTGATCCCATCTGGCCTCGTTTTCCAGCGGTGACATCGTACTGGAACGAGGCCGCAGCCGGTCCTGGTAGGTTAAGGGCGCCCGTCTCCACTTACGCTCCCATCACCAGAGTGGAGGGGTTCACCGAGCGGGGCTATCCCTCGGTACCCCCCCTTGAGCCAAGCCTCGCGGAAACCTTCGGAGCGAAGCTGTCCAGGTTGGAGCAGCGTCCCGTCCCTCCGGTGAAACACGACCAGGCGGTGACCGCGCTCTCCAATCGAGCCCACCAGTGTGCTTTTCAGGCGGCCGCAGCTAGCAACAACGTGGCGCTGCTAGCATTTAGCATGTCGAAGAGGCTGGAGGCCGCGAACCTGCCCGAGGAGACAAAGAGCTCCCTCTGTAAGTCGGCAGACGCCATCCTCAACATGTGCGCCACTTCCACGGTTTGCCTGTCGAGGATTTCAGCGTGGATGACGGTAATCCAACGATCCACCTGGCTTCGTCACTCTCCCTCGCTGCCGGAAAAGCTGCACAAGGACTTGATGGAGGGCCCCATCACGTCGGACGCGCTGTTCGGAAGCAGCTTAAAAACCATGCTGGCGAATTCGAAGCAGTCGGAGGAGATGTCGGAAGCTGTGCGTCATCTCATCAAGCCGCGCGGCTCATCCCGTCCCCCAGCCCGCTGGAGAGATCGTCGCGAGCAGAGGCAGAAACATCGGCGCTCCACGGCCGCAGCAGCTTCGTCTCACTCAGCTCCACCACCAGCCCTGCCCGTCAGAGACCACCCCTCCTCATTCCGGCAACCTGCACTTCAGCGTTTCCCCAGAGATCGCCTGCAGACGGCGCTCGGGGCAAACAAATCGCAGAGCTCACGGGGGAGAAGATTTAAAAAATGACGGTCTGCGGAGGATGTGTGTATAAATGACACAGAAGTTGAAATAAATGATTTTTCAATGATCAAAGTGTCTGTTTTTAGCCAGTCTGTAAGCTTGGATGAGCTCACAGCCGCTGCACACACATCCTCCACACATAAAGAGCCGGTGTCCTTAAATAAACGTTTTTTAAACCCACCGCCGCTCCAACACATGACGAGACGCTCACTCGACACTACGGTAAGCGAAATAACTCGTTATCAATCAGACCCGCACGATCATCACCCAAGCGGTGTTAAACGCGCACCCGAGTGAGGCAAGCAGCCTCCATCCAAACGGCGCTGTGTTGATGATGCACGCACAGCTGCCCGGCGCTCACCGGCTCACATCGGTATAAATGTGGGACCGCAGGCCGGGTCCGGCGGAGGTCCCCGCTCTCAGCGAAAACAACACACGCCTCACCTGAGCAAACGCGAGTGGCCGTCATCCACCGCGTCTCAATGATCAGCAACTCACGGCGGCATAAGCGTGAGACAGCTGAACGAACCCGGTGACGAGCCCCGCCCCCAGCGAGAGCGGCGCGCGTCCCAACAGAGAAAACGTGTGCTCCCGCGAGGCTCGCAACCTTCACTCCGACAGCACGGCGTTGATGAAGTCACGCCCTCCGCCTCTCAACGTTCGCACAGCGACGTTAAACGTGCAGCCCCACGACGTCATCAGCTGGCACACGCTTCGCCTCAGCACACACCGGCCCACCCAGACATGAAGGTTGGTCCGCGATCCAGACGCAGCGCACGGGCGCGTGCAGAACAGCCCTTTCGAGGAAGCCTCGCCTTGGGTCACGCAGAAAACATTTCCGCGATGCATGACGGCGGTCGAGGCAGCGGATTGGATGACATCCGTTCAAAACACGGCGCATCACTTAAACGCACGTCCACTCCACGAACGTTATGCAGAGTGGCTAAAAACATGCTCGCCGGACAGATGGATGGACAGAGTCTTATGCAAGGGTTACACGCTGCAATTTGCAACCCGACCCCCTCCGTTCGGAGGAGTTATGGAGACGGTCCTGTCATCACCAGACCAAATCTCAGCCTTAAATGCAGAAGTTCAGGAGCTTCTGATAAAAGGCGTAATCTCCAGAGTTCCCAACGGAGAGGAAAACACAGGGTTTTACTCACGCTACTTCCTGGTCCCCAAACGGACCGGAGGGATGAGACCTATTCTGGATCTGTCAGCTTTCAACAAAGCGATCATGAACAGACCGTTTCACATGCTGACAACCAGACAGCTGTTGGACAACATCCAGAGAAACGACTGGTTTGTTTCCATCGATCTAAAAGATGCTTATTTTCACATACCGATCATCCCAAAACACAGAAAATTTCTGCGTTTCGCCTTTCAGGGGATGAAGTATCTAATATATAATTACCATGAAGGCTCACTTATCACAAACGAGAATCGACACTTTAAAAAGTCAACTCCGCCACGTAAGACCTGGCAAAGTGATAACAGCTGTCTCTGTCATGAAGCTGTTGGGAATAATGTCATCAGCTCACACAGTGGTTCCGCTGGGTTTGTTACACATGAGACGCCTCCAGAGGTGGTTTGCGCGTCTGCGTGTGGATCCAGTAAAACAAAAAAGACGGATGATCACTGTCCCTTCTTCTGTGAGAGCAGACCTCCAACACTGGGGAAACACCCTGGTTCTGTCAGAGGGAGTTCCCGTCAGCAGTCCCACGTCACACGTGTCAGTCTTCACGGACGCGTCACTGTCAGGTTGGGGGGGGGGACATGCCTATCTCAAGCAGTAGGGGCGCTGTGGCCCCACCACACATCAGCCCACATCAATGTTTTGGAGTGTCGCACAGTGCTGAATGTGATTCAACACTTTGCTCCCATGCTACAGAATCAACACGTGTTGATTCACACAGACAACATAGTGACTGCTGCGTACATAAACCGCCAGTGGGGTGTGCGTTCAGCCCAGATGTTACACATTGCGCGAAAGCTACTGTGTTGGGCTCACCATAACCTGCTCTCCATCAGAGCGGTTTACATACCCGGTGTTCTGAACAGAGGGGCAGATGTGATGTCCAGGGGCGGTCCACGTCACGCGGACTGGACCCTCCATCCAGACCTGATGGTTCAGACGTGGCAGAAGTTTGGCAAAGCAGCTGTGGACCTGTTTGCGACACGAGAGAACGCTCAGTGTCAACTATGGTTTTCCCTGAGCCCGCGAGACGATCCACCGCTGGGTGTGGATGCATTTGCTCACAGCCCGTGGCCCAAAACGCTTCTGTACGCGTTTCCCCCACCTCCTCTGATTTTACGGTTCCTGAACCGAGTTCAGGAGGAGGGATTGACAGCTCTCCTGGTGGCTCTCGAGCGCGTGAACGCACCATGGTTCCCAGTCCTGCAACGTCTGTTGTCGGGTCGTCCGTGGAAACTGCCGTGGAGGGAGGATGCTCTCCTTCAAGCAGGAGGAGCGATCAGGAGTTACCCAGAAATAGGTCAGCACCTGTGGGTCTGGCCGCTGAGCGGTCCCACTTAGAGAGGATGGGTCTCCCTCAGGAGGTAGTGCGCACAATCCAAGATTCACGTGCTGCATCTACCACAGCTCTGTACACATCAAAGTGGGCGGCTTTTCAGCGCTGGTGTACAGAGAAAGGTTTAGAGGCCACCTCATGCCCATTAGGCTGCGTGCTGTCTTTTTTACAACAGTTGATGGATAGGAAGTTGGCATTCAGCGCGATTAAAACGTACGCTGCAGCCATCTCTTCCTGTCACGAAGGGTTCGGAGACAGAACAGCTTTTAATCACCCGCTGATGAAGCGGTTTCTAAAAGGTGTACAAAGACGTAGGCCTGTTTCACGCCCACTTGTTCCACAGTGGGATTTAACGCTGGTCCTGCGAGCTCTGATCAAAGCCCCATTTGAGCCTTTGGATCAGGTTTCACTTAAATTCTTGTCTCTTAAAACAGTCCTGCTGCTGGCTTTAACATCCGCTAAGAGGGTGAGTGATTTATCTGCCCTCTCTGCCGCTCCGTCATGTTTCAGAATCCAGGCTGACGGTAGTTCAGCTGATTTAAGACCAAACCCAGCTTTTATGCCTAAAAACATCACGAGCTCTTTTAAATCAAGAGCGATATCGTTGGAGGGATTTTTCCCTCCCCCCCCACAGATCAGAAGAAGAAGCATCTTTTCATCTTCTCTGTCCCGTGCGGGCGTTGACGTGTTACATAGCGCGCACAGCTCTAATGCGTCAAACTCAACAATTGTTTGTGCATTATAGAGATGCATCTGCAGGTCGCCCGTTATCCACCCAGCGCTTGTCACACTG